GGGGGCGCGGCCGGGAGGGGCGCACCTCCTTGATGACCTTGCCCCCGCGGTGGATGGTGCTGTTGTTGACCATGTCCACGATGGCCACGCCCAGGTTGCAGCGGATGCCGAAGGAGATGCAGAAGCCCAGGCCGCTCATGATGGCGATGATGTAGCGGCGCGGGAGCCCGAAGCACGTGCAGTCGCACAGCGGCGCCTTCTTCTCGGGCACCTCCAGGGGCTTCCCATCTTCCGTCAGCTCGATGGTCTCCCCGGTGTCCTGCTTCCTTTCCAGCACCCTGCGCGGCAGAGGGGGGGGGGCAAGGACGCCCCGGGTTAGGCACCCCAGGCGCCGCGGGTCCCCAATTCCCCGGGCCCGGGGGGCTGAGGGGAGGGGCGCTGACCCGCCCCCGGGGGAGGGAGTCGAGGCCTCAGGGCCCCCGGGCTCTCCAGCCTCCGCCAGCCCCTGCCCGCGCAGGGTCCCTGCAGTTCAACGCCTCTGGCCTCGCGCATCAGTCGGGTCCCCTGGGACCCGCCCCCGCAGCACGCAGGCGGCTTGGGCCTAACTTCCTCGCGGGGTCTGCAGCTTAGGAGGCGCACCCCAAAGGCGCCTTCTTTGCAACTGTGTAGGCGCCTCCCCGCCGCAGCGCGTTACCCCGAGACGGGCTGTTTTACCCGAGGTCGGCCGAGGCCCCGCACCCGCCCGCACCTTCCTTCCCGGGCGGCTTAAAGCTTCCCGGGCCGTGGACGCCACGACCCCCCCGCCCCCCAACTGAGCCCGGGCCCGCGGGACCTAGGCCTCTGGGGTGCAGCGCCCCCGCGGAAGGGTCTGTGGGCGCTCCCTCTGCGGGAGCCGCGCCCCCTCCGGCTCCTCCGGCCCCAGGGCGCCAATGCAGCGTTTGCTCTCGGCTCACGCGTCCTACTTTTGCCCCTGGTTACTCGAGTTTGAAACAAAGGCCTCGGCAACCTATGGCCGACACCTAGGCTTCCTCCTGCCAGAGCATGAATAATTAATTATCCACAATCTCGCGTCACCACTCTCTCAGCTACAGACACCGAAAAACGTCCCCGGCCCACTTCCAAAGACTTAAAATGCGCCTCCCTGGGGTGCAAACGCGCCCCCCGTCAGCTCGGGTGCGACGGCCCACGCCCCGGGGGAAGGTCTCACGTTGCGTTCTCGGTTTGTGTTTTTTAATTAGGAGAGCACTTCACAAGGTTGCACCCGTCTGATTCCTTTTAGGCTTTTGTCCTTGGGGCGGGGGGGAGGGGAAGGCGAAGCGATGGGAAGGTTTTTACTAAAAGCTGGTAGTGTTGTTTCTAGTCCACAATATGCCCGTGAAATTTCTATTTCAGAAAAACAAGACAACGACTGTGAACGGTAACATCACCGTGGTCCCTTGAGATAAATGCTTTCAATATTTAAACAGAGAACCTCTCCATTTACAATTTGCAGGTATTTCCAGTCTACCATACAATTGATTTCTGTGTGCGCCCTTTTAAATGATAAATCCAGGCACAATTGTTTCATACACATGGATAAAGCAAATGAAATTCTAAGATCAATTCCAGGAATGCAGAGCTTGGGCGATGGCGGTCAAGCAATTGAAGGCTACCCGGGGGGGAGAAAAAAAAGCCGTACTTCCAAATTCTACAGAATAACACCTGGGAATGGGGCACAGATGTATTTGGGGCTGTTGATGCTGAATCCTAAAATCCAATCCCAATCCCAATTGTAGAGCACAGGGCAATATATACCGGGAGAGAAAATTTGAACTAATGAGGCTTCATTTGTTTCACACTGGCTTCGCATACTCCTATTACAAAGTCGAACTCTGCACCTGAACGCCCCACCTGATGGCAGCTGGGCTGGGAAGGCACAGCTCTTCCCAGGGCAGCTGCGGGACTGCAGGGCCCTTGCGGTAGCTACTGCGGCACAGGTGCTGGATGGAGCCTGCGTGAAGCCACCAGGACCAAAGAGATTTGGAAAGCTGGGAGGCGCGCTGGTCATTTTCTATACATTTCCAAAGGCTTCTGTCTCCCAAATGTGAAAATTAGCGCTCTCCTGGAGTCATTTACTCTCTTGTTTCTGCACTCTCGTCTCGATTTTGCTCCTATTATTAAGAAACGGCGTGTTCATAGAATATCTGGAAAGGATTTAGTTGTGAAATTTACAGCATAATTAGGACAATGACTATCGGGAGGCTAAATTTAAAAAAAATTAATTTCCAGTACTTTCCAAGTCATGTTGCTGGTTATTATTATGGGTTTTTTTTTTTTTTTCTTATAAGTAATGTGACCTTTCCCATACAAGAAATAGGCTTCAAGGAGAGGTCAAATAATAACAAATACCCAGACGTTGTCCTGGGTTCAGGAAGAACTGCTTTCGCTATCAATTATTGATATGTTTTGATTCCTCTTTACAGAAGGATGGTGCCCTTGGGGGATTCACTACTCAGGTGGTTTTTAAAGCTCAGATCTAAATTTCTTTTTACCATTACTCTTTGGAATTTCTTGATTAATTGTTAAAGGGGTGCATTTAAAAAATATTATTATTATTCATTTGTCTGCAACCAAGGAATTTGCACCAAATGAAAGGTTCTTTGAACGGGTACTGGTCATTTTGCAATTGTAAAGAGGATATCTCCTGGGCAGGAAAGGACAAGAATCTGCAGGTACGGAAACAAAAACCACACACACAAACACAAAGCAGACAGGTTCTTTTAGCGCAACATTCCTGAATAAATAAGCAGGTTCCCAGAGCAGCCCCGCTCCAGCCATGAGCAAGGAAAAAGACTTTCCGATCATATTACAAACCTCTCTAAGCAGCCAGGGTTTGCGGAAACAGCCCTGCAGGGTTTTGTTTTTTTTTTTTCATGCTGAGCCCCAGGCAAATAGGGGTTTGCTTTCTCTTACCTGTAGATCTGGCCGAGGGATTTTCCAGCAAAATTCTTTAGCCCCTCTTTTCCTGGGGTCAAAACCCTTTGTTTTACGGACTCCATTCTTGCAAAGCCTGGCGTCGGGCTCTTGCCAGATTTAAGTAGTGATCGCTATAGAAGGCGAGAATGGCGCATATTGTCTTAACCCCTTAAGGTAGTTGTGGGCTTTTTCTTCTCAGCAGAGTGGTATTGATGTGCCTCCAGCAAGCGTGCGAGTGAGAGAGGGGAGGGAGAGTGAGAACAGAATACAACAGAATAGCTGCCTGCAGCCCACGGGTTTCCTAATAGGAGAGTTGGTAGACACAATCAGAAAGTCTCATTGGAAGGGGAGGTTCCGGTGGCACAGGGCGCACGCAGTGCCACGGTATTTGGGCGGGTGCCGACGAGTCCTCGCTCTCGAAGTCAGTCCACTGGAAAAAAAAAAAAAGCAATTTAAATTCCCGATGTTGAAAGCCTTATTGCTGTGAAATCTTCTGGCTTTTCAACGGAAGGGTGGCTAGGTCACAGAACCCCTGTGTAAGGACAAAGGCAAAAGAATAGTACTTTTAAAAAAAATAATAACGTGTGTTTGCTGAAAGGAGCAGGGCGCTTCCAACACTCAAGGGAGCGTCTTGGTCTCAGGGGAGCGGCGCCGCTGCCTCGGGTCCCCTCGCGTCCCAAGGCGCAGCCCGAGTCGCGTTAAGGTGGAGAGAGCTCGCCGCTCGTGGCGGCCCGGGGTGAACGGCGGCGCGGCGGCGGTCGGCGGCGTCGGGGAA